TAAATAATAGACCTACAGACAGTCCTACACCTTAACTGCTGGCCTTTAAACAATAGACCTACAGACAGTCCTACACCTTAACTGCTGGCCTTTAAATAATAGACCTACAGACAGTCCTACACCTTAACTGCTGGCCTTTAAACAATAGACCTACAGACAGTCCCACACCTTAACTGCTGGCCTTTAAACAATAGACCTACAGACAGTCCCACACCATACCCGTGGCTCTTTTAACTGATTAATATCATATAGTGCCTCCCACTAAAGAAAAAAATAATAACCATTTTGCTGGAGTTCAGCCGTCATGCATGACGCTCACTGCGCGACAGCCTTTTTTACAATCAGTAATATTAATATAAAACATGTGGAGTTGGGGGAGGGGCAGGTTTCCAAACAGGAAGTAGGATGCACCAGAAGAAAAATAATTGATAAATTTTCATTGGCGATCACAACCACTTACATGATCACTTATACAACCACTTACATGATCACTTACTCAATCACTTACATGATCACTTACACAATCACTTACACGTTCACTTACACAATCACTCACATGATCACTTACACAATCACTTACATGATCACTTACTCAATCACTTACACGATCACTTACACAATCACTTACACAATCACTTACACAATCACTTACATGATCACTTACACAATCACTTACATGATCAAGGAGGGGCGACCATTGCAAATATCTGGGCGGCATTTGCGCTTTTCCAAAAAGGACAAAAACAGGATAATGCAGGCCTGGAGGAATTTGTTCATAAAATTTTGTTTAAATTCTGATCAGGAGAGACAAACTAGTGACGTAACATAAATCAACACACAGAGGACATCGTGTAGAAATATGTCCTATTTAATTTATTGTTAAAGTGATTTCATCCAACAAGTTGCCCAATATGTAGCGTTATGTTCACTGGTTCTTTAGTCTGTGATGTGGTACCCGGAAGTGGTGGATTCAATGGCATAGGAAATGGGTGGGGGGCACCTCTCGTTGCACTTTATTCTCTATAAAAGGATAGGTGGAATTATCGGCACAAGAGGCATGGCATCATTTAACTTACCATCAGCTATTATTCTTTCTAATAATATATTGGAACTCTAATTGGGTATGTTCAATGCAGTTTTATACAGTGGAGTTAGTCTTTTATTTTGAACCAGTTAAATAGAAATATTAAGTCCAAAAAAAAAAGGGGGGGGGGGCGAAGTAGAATCAAACAAGCCGTCAACTAAGTGATAGTCGGACTTTGAGAGATATTTTAGTTTGATAATGACTTGAAATAACAAACTCATTGCAGGCCTACGTGACAACTGGAATAATATAGCAGGCACTAAAACTACAAGAGGTATGCACTAGAATTCACACGAGAAGCAGCCGTTTAATAACATTAACTTTAAACGCAGACATTGTGATTTTGATCCACGTAACTGTAAGTACAGCGTATTATTAGTTCAATAAATCTATAAAGTGTTTTGAAAATAATTTCAGATGTTGTTTTTTCTACTGCTCCTCGGGATTTGCTGTCTTGTCGGATATCACGTTGCAGCTAAGTCTATATTTTACTTTTTATATTGTTTTTACTATTGTTTGTTCATCGAAGAAGACTTCTTGCCGAAAAGTTGGTTTTTTGTTGTTGTTTTTTGTTGTTTTTTTGTTGCGTCTTTTTTTCAGGTTCTCTCCTACTTTCTTTCACTTATTTCCTCCAACCAAACCTGATTGCATTATCTCCCACTTATGGCCCACAAACACCAAACGATAACGCATAGAAATACATCGGGTCGGATATTAGGGTACAATAACAAATCGTGGACGTTTATTAGAAAGAATCTACATTAGTCACAGGTAATGGAGTAGCAGAGATCAAAACGCTGGCAACATTATTCTCAATACCGTAAATGATATAGTAAACGTTCTGATAAAAACACAGAGCGGCCTTACGATATCCAAGATGGTGGCATTCTTTTTTTTTTTTTTTTAATAAATGAGAACCGCCACTACTAAGTAGGCAAATATCTATAATCAACTACATACCACAGGAATAAGTATCCAAAAGAGCGGCCTTACGATATCCAAGATGGTGGCATTCTTTTTTTTTTTTTTTTTAATAAATGAGAACCGCCACTACTAAGTAGGCAAATATCTATAATCAACTACATACCACAGGAATAAGTATCCAATAATTTATAATGTGGATGTTGAAATCGTCGAGCCCCATGATGAAGTTTTAAGTCAACAGATCTGATGTTACTTTCGTTGGTCAACACAAGGAGTCGCTGGAGTTCTTCTCTACATTTGTTATAGGCTTGTGGCTGGTGTCGTGTACCGCACTCTGTTCTAGTAATACAACTCAGATCAATCAATCGACAGATCATGATAGCGGAACGAGAGAGAAGAGCTTATCATACTTTCGTCTACTGATTAAAATACCGTAGCACACCACGTGACCACAACTTGTCCAGATATGATATTCTTACAGAGCTGCTCAGTCCAGTTGACGTGACCTAGTGGTCAAAATTCAAACAAACTGAAAACAAATTTAGAAAAATAATGCATCGATTATTTTGGTATGACATAAACGTGGATAGAGACATAGATTGTAGACATGTGTTTAATACATTGACATATCTTCGGGCATTCAACAATTTATCGTAAAGTTTTATTAAAGTCAGAAAATACGTCAGAAAATTGAAGCCTCCGGTAGAAATTTGGTCTCATCACGATGAAATGAATTGGTTTTTTTGACTATCCCAATGAGGTTAAGGCAATGTTTAACTGTACTATCTTCTCTTAACAGGTCAATGGCAATTATATACACACATTGTTTTGAGCATGACTGTGTGGTAGCAAGATATCTTATGACTGTGTGGTAGTCATATATCTTAGGACTGTGTGGTAGTCAGATATCTTAGGACTGTGTGGGAGTCAGATATCTAATGGCTGTGTGGTACTCAGATATCTTATGACTGTGTGGTAGCCAGATATCTTATGACTGTGTGGTGGCCAGATATCTTATGACTGTGTGGTAGCCAGATATCTTATGACTGTGTGGTAGCCAGATATCTTATGACTGTGTGGTAGTAAGAAATCTTATGACTGTGTGGTAGTAAGAAATCTGATGACTGTGTGGTAGTAAGAAATCTTATGAGTGTGTGGTAGTCAGATATCATATGACTGTGTGGCAGTAAGATATTTTATGACTGTGTGTTAGTCAGATATCTTATGATTGTGCGGTAGTCAGATATCTTATGATTGTGCGGTAGTCAGATATCTTTTGATTGTGTGGTAAGCAGATATTTTAAGATTGTGTGGTAGTCACATATCTTATGATTGTGCGGTAGTCAGATATCTTATGATTGTGTGCTAGTCAGATATTTTAAGATTGTGTGGTAGTCAGATATCTTATGATTGTGTAGTAGTCAGATATTTTAAGATTGTGTGGTAGTCAAATATCTTATGATTGTGTGCTAGTCAGATATTTTAAGATTGTGTGGTAGTCAGATATCTTATGATTGTGTAGTAGTCAGATATTTTAAGATTGTGTGGTAGTCAAATATCTTATGATTGTGTGGTAGTCAGATATTTTAAGATTGTGTGGTAGTAAAATATCTTATGATTGTGTGGTAGTCAGATATTTTAAGATTATGTGGTAGTCAGATATCTTATGATTGTGTAGTAGTCAGATATTTTAAGATTGTGTGGTAGTCAAATATCTTATGATTTTGTGGTAGTCAGATATTTTAAGATTGTGTAGTAGTCAAATATCTTATGATTGTGTGGTAGTCAGATATTTTAAGATTGTGTGGTAATCAGATATCTTATGATTGTGTGGTAGTCAGATATTTTAAGATTGTGTGGTAGTAAAATATCTTATGATTGTGTGGTAGTCAGATATTTTAAGATTGTGTGGTAATCAGATATCTTATGATTGTGTGGTAGTCAGATATTTTAAGATTATGTGGTAGTCAGATATCTTATGATTGTGTAGTAGTCAGATATTTTAAGATTGTGTGGTAGTCAAATATCTTATGATTGTGTGGTAGTCAGATATTTTAAGATTGTGTAGTAGTCAAATACCTTATTATTGTGTGGTAGTCAGATATTTTAAGATTGTGTAGTAGTCAAATATCTTATGATTGTGTGGTAGTCAGATATTTTAAGATTGTGTGGTTGTCAAATATCTTATGATTGTGCGGTAGTCAGATATTGCATGTGATGATAAAATGTAGTAAGAGAAATATTGAGATAGATAGCACATATAAATGGTATCTGATATCTTCCTGATAAAGATGTAGAATATACGTCACAGTTATGTTGATTTCTAAGGTCACAGTTATGTTGATTTCTAAGGTCACAGTTATGTTGATTTCAAAGGTCACAGTTATGTTGATTTCTAAGGTCACAGTTATGTTGATTTCTAAGGTCACAGTTATGTTGATTTCTAAGGTCACGGTTATGTTGATTTCTAAGGTCACAGTTATGTTGGTTTCTAAGGTCACAGTTATGTTGATTTCTAAGGTCACAGTTATGTTGGTTTCTAACGTCACAGTTATGTTGGTTTCTAAGGTCACAGTTATGTTGATTTCTAAGGTGACAGTCATATTTATTTTTTTAAGGTCATAAACATAAATATTATATATATAATAGGGCATATAGAGATTGAATTTTTTGGACAGCAATATTTACTTAATGATTAATGCATTACTTTACACGAAAGACCAAAACTGAAAGTTTTGATTTCTATTATTACCCATATTAGGTACAAATGTGACAGGAGTGTTTTGTGTGATCAGGGTAATATGTGCCGCTTCTGATAAGTTGTGAGCGAATAAAATAACCAGTTAGTATGTTGAACTATATCACCCTGTTTCTTTTAGGCTGCGCACCATGTTCAGCACGTGCACCAAAAAATCACACAATGAATGCAAAAAGACAGGACGCCGAATTGAAATCTGCAGAAGAGATTTGCAGTCTGAATTATTGCGATAGGCGGAAATGTTCAGCAACAAAACAAACCACTTGCTCTTGTTATTTTAATGACGTTGATTAAATTAACGTTTACGTTGGTGAGTGGCAATGTGTGTTGGTGAGTGGCCATGTGGTGGTGAGTGGCAATGTGTGTTAGTGAGTGACAGTATGTGTTGGTGAGTGGCCATATGTGTTGGTGAGTGACAATGTGTGTTGGTGAGTGGCAATGTGTGTTATTCAGAAGCAACGTGTGTTGTTGAGTGGCAATGTGTGTTGGTTAGTGGCAATTTTTAATTTCTAATTTTCTACCGGTTAGAGGAAAGAGTTCACTTTGAGAAAGGAGTGCATAGTGAGAATGAGTGCACAGTGAGAAATTAAATAATATATTCATCTTGATATTCAAAACAGCGAGATAACTTGAGAATTTTTTTTTTTAAATGAACATGTTAAAAGTTGTTTATATTTAAATATAAAAAGGATATTTAATCTTATGTCAACAGTGATGACTATTTTACAATGCTTTCTTTGAGTGCCGACAAAACTAAATTGTTTAATACACAAACCCACACCTAACAATCCCTTCTAAAGTTTTATTTTCTCCAAATCCTACACAAAGATTAATGACAACTTTCTAGCTGTGACTAGCGACATTTCCTGCAGTCAGGAATGACATCCTAGCATTGCCCTGAGACTTGATTTTCATTGACTTGTGACACGACCAGCAATGACTAGTTACCAAACCGGCATTGACCTGCAGGATGACAAACTGTGACAAGTGACATGTCCAGCAATGAATGTGTCCTGTCTATCAGTGAGTTTTGACGTAACCAGCAGTGACTAGTTACATGTCCGCAGTGACTTGTGACGTATCCAGCAGTGACTACTGACATGTACAGTAGTGATTTGTGAGTCCAGGAATGAGTATTGACAATTTCTCCAATACAGTGAGGTAAGGGAAAGTATTTCTTTCCAACTTAAAAGCAAGGCGTTCGAATTTGTTTTTACGAATCTTTCAAGTGGTTGGTGAGAGCGTAAAAACATCTATGAAATTCTATTCCATTAAGACCTGTTGCAGCTTGTCAGCACCAGGGAGTCCTTAGACCATGGTCAGTCGTGAAACACAATGCTCCATCAAGGTGATCACCGGCATGGGCCTGGCAGTCGCAGCTCTGTTATTGTATCACCGTTTTATTGCAAACAAATTTTGGTGGCTTAAGAACTATGTACTGGTGAGTAGAGAACTATGTACTGGTGAGTAGCGAACTAATTATTATACTTGTGAGTTTATTCGTCTGAATTGTTGCTACTCGTATTGCATTATCCGGAACAGGGGTTGGTCGGGTGAAGAAGAAGCTAGGAGTCAAACGTTGATAGGTTTCAAGTCAGAGCTCTTTAACAAACAATAAGTCCTAAGATATGGTCAATTCTAGTGGAAACTTATTATAGGTAACGAAATAATTGAGTAGCTACATTGGCTTGAGATCCAGTTGCATCCGTTTTCTTTTTAAACGAAAAAAAACATGACTGAAATTTTCAACTTCATTGTACGCGCACTTTGTTCTACGAGGCAGGGGCGGCACCAAGTACCAGGCTAGGGAAATAGGAATCTTTCTCAAGTCTTAAAAAACAATCAATGCATATTTTTGAGAGGACTTAAGTAAGAATCTCACAGCTAGAGACTTACTTTGTTACCCCGCAGTCTCTTTTAATTGAAGAAAAATTAAAGAATAAAGGGGTCCGATTATTTCCACACTTTAGGAAAGCAAAGTTCAGAGCCCTTATTTTTGGCCTTTACCTGAATCCACCAGGTTGGTCGTGTTACAAAGATCAAACACTACCCAGTGTCGTCCATCAAAGGATTGAACACCGACGCCATCAACTGCACCACGAACGGTTTGAAGCTTTCCGGGATTGTCAACAAAGAATTTGTCATGACTAAGGTCTCGGGAACTGGTAGGAGCTAATGAATTGATAGACCAAAGTCTCGGGAACTGGTAGGAGCTAATGAATTGATAGACCAAAGTCTAGGGAACTGGTAGGAGCTAATGAATTGATAGACCAAGGTCTCGGGAACTGGTAGGAGCTAATGAATTGATAGACCAAAGTCTCGGGAACTGGTAGGAGCTAATGAATTGATAGACCAAAGTCTAGGGAACTGGTAGGAGCTAATGAATTGATAGACCAAAGTCTAGGGAACTGGTAGGAGCTAATGAATTGATAGACCAAAGTCTCGGGAACTGGTAGGAGCTAATGAATTGATAGACCAAAGTCTCGGGAACTGGTAGGAGCTAATGAATTGATAGACCAAAGTCTCGGGAACTGGTAGGAGCTAATGAATTGATAGACCAAAGTCTAGGGAACTGGTAGGAGCTAATGAATTGATAGACCAAAGTCTAGGGAACTGGTAGGAGCTAATGAATTGATAGACCAAAGTCTCGGGAACTGGTAGGAGCTAATGAATTGATAGACCAAAGTCTCGGGAACTGGTAGGAGCTAATGAATTGATAGACCAAAGTCTCGGGAACTGGTAGGAGCTAATGAATTGATAGACCAAAGTCTAGGGAACTGGTAGGAGCTAATGAATTGATAGACCAAAGTCTAGGGAACTGGTAGGAGCTAATGAATTGATAGACCAAAGTCTAGGGAACTGGTAGGAGCTAATGAATTGATAGACCAAAGTCTAGGGAACTGGTAGGAGCTAATGAATTGATAGACCAAAGTCTAGGGAACTGGTAGGAGCTAATGAATTGATAGACCAAAGTCTAGGGAACTGGTAGGAGCTAATGAATTGATAGACCAAAGTCTAGGGAACTGGTAGGAGCTAATGAATTGATAGACCAAAGTCTAGGGAACTGGTAGGAGCTAATGAATTGATAGACCAAAGTCTAGGGAACTGGTAGGAGCTAATGAATTAATAGACCAAAGTCTAGGGAACTGGTAGGAGCTAATGAATTGATAGACCAAAGTCTAGGGAACTGGTAGGAGCTAATGAATTGATAGACCAAAGTCTTGGGAACTGGTAGGAGCTAATGAATTGGTAGCGAAAACAATATTAGTTTTGGGTTCAGATGGCCTTATATCCTGTAGATTTTTTTAGGCAAGGGTGGGGAGTGGGACTCACAGAGTCTAGAGATAGTAACAAGTATAATGCGACAACTAAATCGAAGGTAGTCTCTGGTCAGAAATCAATTCTATAATTTTAACCTTTGGTGCACGGTGTGATATCTTCAATCTTTCAGCAATGCTACTAGCTTATTTAGCCGTAATACAACAATTATAATTAGACACATGTTTAAGTTTTTTGTCAATTTCGCGTTCAGAAAATTCATGAACGATTTTCCGGTGACTTTTTTAATCTGGACAACCATCCTATTGTCCACTGTAATTTCCACTGAATTTTCATCTGCAATGTCCCTTGTAATGTCCACTGTCAACAGGAATAGAAAAAGGTTCAGGGCTTCACGTTTTAATTGGCCTCACACGTTTTTAAGGGGCCTCACACGTTTTTAAGGGGCCTCACACGTTTTAAGGGGCCTCACACGTTTTAAGGGGCCTCACACGTTTTTAGGGGGCCTCACACGTTTTTAGGGGGCTCCACCCTTTTTAAGGGGCCTCACACGTTTTTAAGGGGCCTCACACGTTTTAAGGGGCCTCACACGTTTTTAAGGGGCCTCGCACGTTTTAAGGGGCCTCACACGTTTTAAGGGGCCTCACACGTTTTAAGGGGCCTCACATTTCTAGGGGCATCAAGGCACCCTTTAGGAAATTTAGTTATCTTTAAAAGTGCAGTAGAGAGCAAGTTTTCTAAAAGTTTCGATTTTCAAATCAAATCAATTTTTTTCCTGTTTTAATTTTAAAAAATTCGTTCATGAAAAAAAAAAACAACCAACTAGCCTTTTGGGGAAGTGGGTAAAATGTGCTAAAGTAACTCAAAGACTTTTATAAGAGGGGACGAGTTCATTAATTAGTAATTTATCTAAAGAGAGTTCTAGTCAGAGCAGTCACGTGACATTTGGGGGCCCCTTGCCAATTTGAGGTTTTGTACATTCAAAGGTAATAGTTTGTGTTCCACATCACAACTTAGGGCAAATAGAATATCCGTGGCCCCCTTCCAGCGACGCCTCTGGTTATATTAATTGACAGCTCCAAATAAACCTTTTAATTTACTGAATTTTCATGACATTTATAATTTATTCTACTTCAACTTCCTTAAGATAAATCATGTATTTATAAATATATCATAATTATTGTGAATATATCATATCTTCTTCATAATTTGAGTCATTTCTATATAATTTAAAAGGATGACTAGCTGAAATAGGAATAGCCTTAAAATTTCATAGATCTTTTCTACAAAACAGTACTTGCTCTCTATTTAGTATCTGTAACACTTGGAAATATTTAAATAAATGCAAAATGGTAGGTATTAAATGAAGGCCTTACATATAGTTGTGTTTCTCTTTCATTCAACATGTCATAATGATGTTATCTAACATGTAGGCCTATATAATGATGTTATCTAACATGTAGGCCTATAATGATGTTATCTAACATGTAGGCCTATAATTATGTTATGTAACATGTAGGCCTATCATGATGTTATCTAACATGTAGGCCTCTAATGATGTTATCTAACATGTAGGCCTATAATGATGTTAAGTAACATGTAGGCCTATAATGATGTTAGCTAACATGTAGGCCTATAATGATATTATCTAACATGTAGGCCTATAATGATGTTATCTAACATGTAGGCCTCTAATGATGTTATCTAACATTTAGGCCTATCATGATGTTATCTAACATGTAGGACTATAATGATGTTATCTAACATTTAGACCTAAAATGATTTTATCTAACAAGTAGGCCTATCATGATGTTAGCTAACATTTAGGCCTATAATGATGTTATCTAACATGTAGGCCTACAATGATGTTATCTAGCATATAGGCTTATAAAGATGTCAGCTAACACGATGGCTTATCATGATGTTATCTAACATGTAGTCCAACTATTTGGTCAGAAAAACCTTTTTTATAATCATTTATGGACGAATGAATGCAAAAGAAGAAAGAAAAAAAAAGTAACTTTACTATTTAGAAGAAAATTTTTAAATGCAAAATGTTTTTGCAGAGCTAGTTTAACTCCCTCCCTAAAAGCATATCATTTCTGCCCCCTCCCCGAGTGGCGTACTAAGGAGGCTCGGAGGGGCGGTCGCCTGGGGTGGTATTTTTTTTCTTACATTGGGGAGCGACATTTTCGGCTAAGTGTAGTTGTGGGTTTTTTTTCGAGGACGGGGGTCTGTAAAACGTTTGGCCCTTTCCGAGTTACACTAATCCTTGCTGTGCCACTGGATACCCCCCTTCCTCATTGAAATTTAGAGAAACTGTTGTAATAGTGTGGACCAATCAGGCTCCCAAATGCTTTTCCTAACATTATTTGAATATGTAACAGAGGTATAGGGGATCTCAGTGCACAATTTTACCCTGTTCCTATCATGTTATTTTAAAGATATTTCTTGAATTAACGATTGCAGACTTTGCGACGTCCACCGTCACGCCCACCATCAAGGAATACTTCTGCGACGAAATGCGATGTCTGGCCGCAACATCAGACGGTCGGACCCTCTACCTCACCGGACCGGACAACAAGAAGTTTGAGTGCGTTCAATTAGTTCTGTGTCAGTTTTATATAATGGTGATCTAGATTTCTTAAAGCTGCTTTCATGATACACCCTGTGATTACCACTGTTATAAGCCCTGCGATTACCACTGTTATAAGCCCTGCGATTACCACTGTTATAAATCCCGTGATTAACACTGTTATAAATCCTGTGATTGCCAATTTTTGAATGGTTCATGATTGACAGGTATGAATGGGCAGTCTTGACCCAAACACAACAGTATCTTCTCATCAGCGGGTACACTCTATAAACACTTAGCTGCTTTAGAATACAAATATTGTATACTTAAAAAAACGTTCTCCCCTCACAAGGCAAATTTAAGGGTATTGACGGCTTACAGCTGGTCTATTAATATTTATTTTTTGAGGTAAGCGTTGTGCAAGGGTGTACCTTGGGAAGGGAAATTTTGGGTACTTCCCCCAGGTATAAAATTAATGAGATGTAAAATTGGCACGTCTTCATACTTTTATAATTCAATTAATAACGAAAATATTTGTTTTTACATAAGAAAGTATTATAAAAAGTGAAAAATGTGACTTACAGATTTGCGGAATTGATCTCTTATAACATAATTATTACATCTTGGCAGACTTGACTTTCTCGCACCACCCCCAGCGAAAATGTACCAAATCAAAATGCACCAAATCATGCGAGCCAGGGACATTCTTGTAGCTGTGGATATGGGTATGTCTTCGATGTTGAGTCTTCTTGTAGCTGTGGGTATGTATATTTCTTGAGGGTTGAGTCTTCTTGTAACTGTGGATATGGATATTTCTTGGAGGTTGAGTCTTCTTGTAGCTGTGGATATGTATATTTCTTGAGGGTTGAGTTTTCTTGTAGCTGTGGATATGTATATTTCTTGGAGGTTGAGTCTTCTTGTAGCTGTGGATATGGATATTTCTTGGAGGTTGAGTCTTCTTGTAGCTGTGGATATGGATATGTCTTGGACGGAAGGTTCAAAGCGGTAACACTTTTTTTCTTTTAAGGTTGCCTTTTCAACCAATTACAGAGATTGCTTCTACGGGGAAGAATTCAGTAAAAAAAAGCTTGGTCCATCCTGGATGGCAATAACCCCCTAGTTACGCCCCTTGCACGAATGGAATTAATTTCTACGTATAGTGTGTTTTTTTTTAAAATTAAAAATTAGTATTAAATGAGAAAGTATTTTATAAACTTTGTATTTTTTGATGTGAGCTTTAAAAAAAACACACAACTTAAATGTATCTACATCTCAGGTGCGATTAAAAAAATACCGCTGAAATTTTTCTTAAATTGGATTTTGATTGGTCACATCTGGTGTAGCCTTCTCTTACCTATTACACTTGCCAACACCAACATTTGGTTTAGCCTTCTCTTACCTATAACACTTGCCGTCACCAATATTTGGTGTAGCCTTCTCTTACCTAATACACTTGCCAGCACCAATATTTGGCGTAGCCTTCTCTTACATATTACACTTGCCAACACCAATATTTGGTGTAGCCTTCTCTTACATAATATTACACTTGCCAACACCAATATCTGGTCATCCTTGGTTTGACATATTATTTGTCTATGTATTAAACTGATAGAAACCGATGGACACAAACAGACGGCGGAATAACAATCCATAACTTCCAGTGATTATCATAGCATCCAAACCTAGAGGATGTCGAATCTCGATTTATAATCTTAATATAAGGAAAAAATAATTAAAACAAGAAAAAAAATTAGTCGCCATTTCTTGCCACTACCATTCCCCTTCCCCTTCTGGCCTTTGTAGTCACTATGAACAAAATAACAATGATCAACTGCTTCTATTAATCTGCCAGGAGACGAAGTGGCCAGTTGGCTGTCGGATGTACTCGGCGAGTCCGTGCGGCTACATCGCTGGGTCAACACAGTTTTCACAGCTTATCCGGGGAGACAACATGTTGGTAATTGTGTCGTCTTCACGGAAGAGTCAGTGGCGTTTGTCAAAAAGAAAGTGAGTTATTGCTCCTTGGTAGCAACAAGAAACCCACTTAAACAGTGATTATTTCGAACAATGTATTTGCCATCTTGATTGCTAGACCACAACTTTGTTGCCATTGATGGAGATATGGGAATCGAACTATGTTTTAGAATGTCGGTTCGGTTCTGGTTCGGCCGTCAGCAGTCTTTGAGTTCGGTGTGTTTGGTTCGATTTCCATATCTAAATTGTTGAATTAGCTTGGGTTGAGTCCATTGTTTCCGAACATGTGGACCACGGCCCACTTGTGATGCATGAAATGGTTTATCCAAGCCCAGGGCTTATTCATGAAGGATACCAATTTGACACGGCGGAGACTGGCTTGCACATTGGTGACCATCCCACGTCTTGGTGACAGCCCTGGTGCACGTGTACATTGTCCTTATAAAATGTGTACAGTGTAAGTTGCCTTGGTCAAATCTGTTCGTGCATATTGCAGTCATGGGGTGACCACGGCCTCCGGGCGGCACTTATTTAGGGGAGGCATTTACTTTATATTTGCTTATTTTTTTCTTCAAGTGTTGCAATGTAACGTTGGTTAATTAGGAATGACAACGTCACAAACTCTATGGCTACGCCACTGATTGCAATTTGCGTCGAATATGTTTAAGGAAACGGAGATGAATGTCTTTGTGTTGAGATTCACTGGTTAATGGTATTCCGACACCAGATAAATTGCCCGGAAAGGAAACGGAATCGTGTTTGTCATTGATTGATCTCTTGATACTAGTTAAGAAAATGATTAGCTTGACTGACATCTTTATTTCAAAGTCAGAAGATTTTAAAAACTTGGTTGAATTAAATTTAATTAGACCAGTATTTGATTCGATTAGATCAGTATTTGATTCGATTAGACCAATAGTCGATTCGATTATACCAGTAGTTGATTAGAATTAGGGCAACAGACGTACAAGATATTGTTAAATGCATTGAAATAAATATAGTATATTCAAAATTGGAAGACGCCATTTCAACGCATTTCAGAAATGTTCCTTATGTCCTGCAGTTAGGTCTGTTGGACATAAAGACGTCACACTTTCAACCCAACATCGTCATTTCCGGTTGCGATCCCATGGATGAAAGATGGTGGTCTCACATCAGAATTGGTGAATCGGTGTACATGCAGATCAAAGGTCCGGATGTAAGGTTTGGAAGGAAGAAGCTTTGAGCCGTCCCTACGGCGATTTGTTTTCGTTAGTACATTGATTGACCTCTATTGATTTTGTTGAAATGGTAGTACGAAGACGCATTTTCCTGATCAAATCTCAGGTTTATTTGGTCTATTCGCAATTTAATCTACTAGTACTTCCTTTTTATTTGTTCCCTGTCCAACAAAAAAATAAAAATAGCTCGAAAATAATAAGGTCAAGGAACTGGTCATTTGGAAGGCTCTAAAAATAGTTGGAAAACCAAAAGGTGCATGAATAAATTAGCGGCCAGAGGTTAACCCGGCCTGGGGTTGGAGGGGGTGGGGGTGGTGGTGCTACACCCCAATTCTACTCACCATATTTAAATGTATGACAGTCTACTACAGTTTAAAACCGCTTGGCATCATTTATTGCAATTTTGTAGTGTTTAGGATTATGACAAGGTATGTGGTAGAGGAAATGTTGAAAAGGGGTAGTGGGGGTAACGAGTATGGGTTGAGCTATGGTGTAAGAGAATAAGACAATGGCTTGTGAATAGAGGTGGAGCTATGGTGTAAGAGAATAAGACAATGGCTTGTGAATAGAGGTGGAGCTATGGTGTAAGAGAATAAGACAATGAATTGTGAATAGAGGTTGAGCTATGGTGTAAGAGAATAAGACAATGACTTGTGAATAGAGGTGGAGCTATGGTGTACGAGAATAAGATAATGGCTTGTGAATAGAGGTGGAGCTATGGTGTAAGAGAATTAGACAATGACTTGTGAATAGGGTTGAGCTATGGTGTAAGAGAATAAGACAATGACTTGTGAATAGAGGTGGAGCTATGGTGTAAGAGAATAAGACAATGGCTTGTGAATAGAGGTGGAGCTATGGTGTAAGAGAATAAGACAATGACTTGTGAATAGAGGTGGAGCTATGGTGTAAGAGAATAAGACAATGGCTTGTGAATAGAGGTGGAGCTATGGTGTAAGAGAATAAGACAATGGCTTATTGGGAGAGGTTAAATAGGTTTTTGGCGGAAGGCATAACTTCATAAGAGTTTTATCCATCCCTGTGGCGCTACAGCCCATGTAGGACTTTGGCCTGTCTCACTTCTTCCTTTCACTCAGACCTAACTAAAGCCTTTCTTTTCCATGCTTGGACTTTCAGCTGTTGCAGATCTTTTTCCACATCATCCATCCATCTAAGCCTAGGTCTGCCTTTGAGCCTTTTTCCTCTGGGGTATTGGTGATGCACCCTCTTCGTTCCTCTGTCATTTGGCATTCTCTCTAAGTGTCCTGCCCAGCGTAGCCTGCCTCTTTTTATTTCTGCTGTAAGAGTTATATATATATTATATATATATTTGGAACACACTTCCTGCCACTCTCAGAAACAGCCAGATACTGGAGTCTTTCAAAACCGAATTGAAATCACATCTATTTCGCAAACAACTGCTGGGGGATGTTGTCTATCATCTTTTCCAGCTCATGGCTATTATATCCTAGACGTATATTGGCTTGTGTTATGTTTGGAAGAGATGAAATACTTTGAATGGGTATTCTCGTATGTAGTTTTTGTAATGTTGCGTTTTGTATTTCAATGTGGTATAATATAGATTTTTTTTTTCATTTCTCTTTTAATATGGATTACTTTGTACCGCGCTTCGAGCCTTGGGGTATGAAGCGTGATTTTCAAATAAACTTCATTTATATATATATATCTATATATATATCTATATATCTCTATATCTATATATATATATAAAAGGGGGCGGGGGCGAAATGGCTGGGCAAGGAAGTAGAGAACGGGAGAGGTCGTAAGGGTAGTCACTAAATATGTCACATTTCATGAACTTCATTCTGTCTCTTTCAAGGGTGAACGTCTTTTTGATGGTTGAACGGCTAGGAAATATCTTCTGGGAGGTCGAATACATTTACCAGTTTCTTACGTCAGCTTGCTAAGATTACATAATACTACAACTGAACAATGTAATCCATCGCAATATTCTTGTAAAAATAATTTGGTAAAGTTAATAATGCATGAAAACAATGCCCCAATGACCTATATTATGCCACAGCAATTGAACATCAGTAGACACACACCCACTGGTGATTGCTAATCAAATGGTCGATTCCTATATCAACAGACTCGTGTCCACAGGCCCCCCTGAGATGACCAACTGGGTTCGGACATTCGAGCCCATGGAACCCATCCCTAAGAAGGTCATGATCAACGGTTTCATCTACCACACCACCCTGGGGGTCAACGCAGAGGTGGTCAGCCAAGGAGAGATCAGGATTGGTGACCCTGTTTTTGCTGCCAGATATTACAAGGAGCCATCGGAGGAGTACCCATGGCCAGTATTTTTAACTCGGTCGTACTGGGGACTTTGACACTAATGCTGGGACTTTGACACCAATGCTGGGACTTTGACACCAATGCTGGGACTTTGACACCAATGCTGGGACTTTGACACCAATCCTGGGACTTTGACACCAATCCTGAGGCTT